GTCAGCCGCTCATATATATATATATATATATATATTTGCGCACACGCACACATGTATATAGATAGATAGATAGATAGATAGATAGATAGATAGATAGATAGGTAGATAGATAGATAGATAGATAGATAGATAGACATATGATATGCACACGCACACGTAATGCTAGACTGAAGAAATATGCCACACCATAGAAAAATGAACAAACCATATATTTCCAGCTGGATAAATGGTGAAGATACATACACAAGTTGAAACTAGATAGATAGATAGATAGATAGACAGACAGATAGATAGATAGATAGGTAAACAGATATAGATAGATAGATAGATAGATAGATAGATAGATAAACAGATAGATAGAAAGTTAGATGCATGGATGAATGGATGGATGGATGGATAGACCGACAGATAGGTAGATAGATAGATACACAAAAAATACCCGCAAAATGAATTGAATGTATGAACGAACGAACGAATGAACGAATGAATGCATGTATGCATGCATGCATAAATGAATGAATGAAAGAATGAACGACTGATTGAATATGTGAATGAATGAACTAATGCACGAATGCATGCTCGCTAAAGAAATGAATGCGGGAATGAGTCATGGAACTGCTGAATCAAAGACCGTGTGACTGACTGACTGACCGACCGACTGACTGGCTGAATGAATGAGTGAGTGAATGAACAATAAACCAACAGATCGATAAATAATTACTGAATAAGCACACACGCAGAGAGAGATATACATGTGTGTGTATATATATATATATATATTGACTATGCACGTATGCCTTTTTCGCCTGGTTGATCTGATTCGAAGTGATCTTGTTAACCTCGCCCGAAGCCCGATGTTCAAGATAAGCAGTCGCAGTCGCAATGCTAAACGCAACGATGATGCGGTAATCATGTTCGGCAGCGAGTGGCGGTGTAGCGCCAGCGTCGGGCTTTGGCCTTGCGCTTCGAAGAATCATCTGCGGTGCTTGACCTGCGAAACACTATATAGGTCCTTAAACCTCAAAGCCGCAACCCACCGCATCCCGTCAAGTCTTTCAGAATGTGTTGTGCAAAGCCGGGCAATGTCGTGCACCCAGAATGTGGCTTTGACTCAACCCCGAGTCCCAACGAATCCCGACAGTCAGTAGAATCCCGAAAAGACATCCTGAAACCGTACAGCATGCGTACATGCGTAAGCGAATCACAGTATCCAAGCTAAAGTTTGCCAACTCGGAAAGAACTTAAACTGCAAGCCAGGCGACTCTCAAAAACCATGGTCTGGATCTCAAGCAGCAGGCCAGGACCGTTCGTTGTTTCGGAACTCCGTGCGCGGCATCCAGAAGATCTGGTTTCGACGGCTTTCACAGCAATATGGGTAGCAGCACGGTACCCGCAGCAGCTGAGGGCAGTGGCAGTAGCAGTGGGAATCGGACGGACAGTATGACATCGCCAAAGTGGCAGTAGCGGTGGCAACGGCCATGCCAAGAACCGCCGCCGCACCAGCAACAGCAGCCGTAGCCGCCGCTGTAGCCGTAACCACAGCCAGCCGCAACCGTAGCCGAGTCAGTAGCAGAGCAGTAGCAACAAAGTAGCAGAGTAGCAGAGCAGAGTCGTAGCAGCAGCGGACGAGGAAGAGGACGAGGGGAGCAGCAGTAGTAGTAGTAGTAGTAGTAGTAGTAGCAGCAGCAGCAGCCGCAGCAATAGTCGCGGGATTAGTAGTCGTCGCAACAAGACCAAAACCCTAGACGTTCGGGCCGTTCGGGCATCTGCGGTGCAGGCAAAGTTTGTTGAGGAGCAGGACTGCGTGCTGGAAGCTCTGAAGTCCACCTTGACGGTGCCGCGCTTGTGTGTCACTTGTAAGATGGGATTTCATGGCTTCTGGTTCTGCACACTGAACGGTTCTGGATGTCGGAGTTCAGACTTTGAACTAGTTTGCACCCTTTGTAGTCGGCCCGGATCTTGGAGTGTATGCGAGCATCCGGGTTCAGGTGCGCACCCTGACTAGTGAGAGCTGTTGACCCTTGGAGCTTCGCGGGTTCAGTTTTGCTTCTTTGAGCAGGTGGACCTCTTGGCGGTCCCTGCGCGGCCGGAGGTGCGATGCGTCGTGCGTGTGCATTCGGAAGAGTTGCCGAGATGTGCAAGGCACGCAGGTGCAGACGTGAGATTGCTTGAACCTCTATTCAAGTCGTCCTTGACTTGACAGTTGCCGACAAAGACGAACCATGTTATCAACCTAGCAGCGCCAGCCCGACAAAACGTAGATAGTCGACTGCGAAATCGAGCCCGAAGGCTCAGGGAAGGAGTCTAATACCCCAACTTGGAGGCTTTCCTCCCCGTGGCGGAGTGGCAAGAACTGGCACGGAGGCCAATTCGCTCCGTGGGTCGGGTTGAAGCTTGCGGTTTCTTGGAACATGCGGTCTGTCGTCTCCGAGTTTTTCGTGCGCGAGGAATTTTAACGTGTTTCCATCGAGGAAGCCCCTGGAAGCGCAGCAGAAAAGTTCCTGTCGATCTGCGCACTGGCAGTCTTCCCCTGGAAGGGCGCCAGGGTCTGCAGTCACAGACGTTTTTCGCGCAACACGCGGGTTAAACGAGCCGCAAACCACAAGGCTTCACGGATGTCCAAGGAGCATCAACAAGTCCTATCAAGTCTTCCTACAGGCTAGCGGCCTGAATTCATTGCAAGTACTAATAACTGCACTCTCCAGGAAGTTTCGAATCGAGCCACATGTCATTCGTCTCCAGAAGCACCTCGGCTGACCTCAGCGACCAGCCAGAGCTGAGACTTTTATGCGGTTTGAGGAAGGTATCCTATGTAGGTGTGTGAACCTTTTGCCAGCAAATGCTTCTTACTGGAAAAAATATACTTGCGATGCCTATCGCTTGACGAGCCAGAGGTACTTCTCATTGGAGAAGATAGGTACTCTTCAAGTGGAGCTCAATGGCGGCAACTTTCTTGCCGCATGATGTCATGCTGAACAATGAGGGAAAGCTTCACTTAATTAACACTTCAACAGTACGCCTGCTGGAGAGGAAACTGGTGACATGGGCATTCTTCTCGAGCTGAGTTTTGAAGCTGAAGATCCCTTGAGTTTGTGTTTGTGGTTTCTGCTAGTATGCTGTCTCCAGGCCGAGATCCAATTATGAGTCTCAGGACCTCAACCTTTCAAGTTTCACGACATCATAGAGTCAGCAGCTCATACCTCCGCGTAATTATATTAAGCACAAAAGCAAGCATTGCTGAAGCCGATAACGCGGCCATGCCGTTTGCGCGATTTTTAAATCTGTGCCTGGTTGAAGTACTGAATGTTACACGCCAGGTGCCGTCAGCTCACGCGTCACATGCGCGTTTCCATGCTTGCTGCTCAAGGTTCTAGCAGAGTGGAGACTACAGCTGTGAACTTGTTGAGCGAAAACGAGACACCTGCTGTGCCAGTAAGCTTGTATACCTCTGTGACGGTGTGCATGCCCAGGTTACATCTCAGGGGGTGGGGTCGCTGCTCAAGTCTCGCAGAATAGAGGATTACCGCTGTGGGCCTGCAGGGTGGCAAAAAGGCACCTGCCATGCTTGTAGGCCTGTACCTCTGGGAGAATTTGCGGGCCGGGTTAAATCGCAACGTGGTAGCGGACCTGAACCCAAGACGGGAAGCTTCGCATCGGTGGAGGTACCCGTTCCTTTGCTCCCGTTGGTGGATGCAACCGGTTCTATCCGGTGTGCTTCACGATTGTGAGGTGACCGGGGAATGCCCGGTATACTTCACCTTTGCCCGGAGGACTAACCTTCCGGGGCTCCATCCTGTTAGGTCAAAGCCATGGCTTGCCATTCTGCTGTGCCGTACGAGCTTTATGATGGAGACGAACAGTACCTGTATCAGCAGCACGAATCCTAACTTCAAGAGCGGCACCGTTTCTCTCGTAGACAGGCGCGAGGCCATCGTGCAGAGACTCAACACACAGCCCAGGCCTTACTTCGTGCAAACGGACATGCAGACAGCAATGAATGAACACAAAAAACAATCACACACACGCATTTACAGAAGTAACAACATGTTCGGAGGTGTACCTACCGGTGCTGCTGCTGCTGCTGCTGCTGCTGCTGCTGCTGCTGCTGCTGCTGCTACTACTGTTATTGCCACGGCCACTGGCCTTTCCAATACTTTTGCTACTCCTGCTGCTTTTGCTGGCGCTGAAACAACAGCAACGACGACGACAACAACAACAACAACTAAGACTACTACTCCCACTGCTGCTATTATTGGTATTGCTACTGCTACTCCTACTACGACGACTCTTACAACAAGAACAACAACAACAACTACAACAACAACAACAACAACAACAACTACTACTACTACTACTACTACTACTACTACTATTACTACTACTACTACTACTGCTACCACTACGACTACGACTACGGCTACGGCTTCGGCTACGGCTACTGCTGCTACTACTACTACTACTACTACTACCACCACTACTGCGACTACTCCTAGTGCTGCTGCTGTTACTACTACTACTACTACTACTACTACTACTGCTGCTACTACTACTACTACTACTACTACTACTACTGATACTACTCGTACTACGACGATTACTACTACCACTACCACCACTAGACGACGGGTACTGCTGTTGCTCCTGCTGTGACTGTTTGTCACCTTTCGTTCGTTCGTTCACTCACTCACTCACTCACTCACTCATTCATTCACTCGCTCACTCACTCGTGCATGCATTCCACAGTACATCAATAAGCATTAACATCAAAGTCAGAATTCGCATCGCGAGCACTCTCAATGGCAGCATCATGCCAACATCTACGCGTACACCTGCACAACCGGCACCTGAACCATCTTAGCACCATTGTCATTAGCGGACTATCATCACCCGCACCACAGCTACCAAGGCTGCTGCCATGATCACCTAGGTAGTGACCTTGGAGAGATTGTCAGAACGGGAGAGTGCAGCCCGATTTGAAGCAACCGGTGAAGCATGTGCCAAACTATCAAAGCTCCCTAAGCCTTAATTAAAGCCTTAAACCGTTAAACCCTTAATCTCTAAACCCTAAGCCTCTCATCCCTAATCTTCAAACCCCTAAACCCTAAACCCTAAAAAGCACACCAGGGGGCCTACTCTTCGCTGGTGACATGCTTGAGCGGATGACGAACGGGCAGGCAACAAAGGTGTTGCCGTTCAGACTGAGTTGCTGTGTCTCTCCCCTGGTATCGCTGTCAGCAGGTCCGGGCGTTGGTACACCGCGTGTGTTTGGATCCGAGCCCTGCCAGTTTGTCTGAACCGAGTGCCGTGCGGCAATCGCATATTTTGTTCCTCCAGCCAGACAGCGGCTTGGCACAAAAGATTCAGTAGGCCTTTTTTTTAGGAGTTAAATTAATTCGCATATAGGGTTCCAGTGCCGTGCGAAGTCCTTTCGTGTCGTACCGTGCTGAGTCCTGCCCGGCACATGCAAGGGAATACGCTGGTGCGGCCACTGCGGCCTTTCTGCACCGGCAACGATATGCCTCCAGTACGCTACGGTGACTGGCACAAGAGCAAAACCAGCCCCTTGGCCAAAGGAGGGCTGGGACTAGGCCCTAATTATATAGGCGCCAAAATAATTACCAATACTATTCTTCGGAGAGCTTTGCACCATCCGAAAAAATACTGTTCTGGTGTTCCTTCGCACAACGAAAAATGCAAAACACCCCCAAAACCCTATTCTGATTGGTAGGGCCCTTCTGTTGCTTCTGCCTCGCATGAAGCAGTTTCTGACAATGAACCTCGACCTTCGACTCAGACCTGAAACCCCTAAGCCATACATCCAAATTGACTTCAAAACTCGTATGCTACACACCGCTAATCCCCTATACAAGCCCAAAGCAACCACAACCCTGAACCCAGAAATATAGGGCTTTCGATAACCATGCTCGCTCAGGCTTCGTGTTTCTACTATGTTAGTGTGCTTGCTCGGCCTCTTTTTTCTCCCCGGTCGTCGCCCTTGTTGTCGTCTAGCTGACTATGCCAGCTCCCCAATTGATGGCTCGTCTTGCAGGTTCTCCCGCTAACGCCCGCTAATGCTGTGGTTTCAGTGCTTTTTGTGTAAAATATCATAGACGAATCATCAGCACCGCCTTCTCTCGGAAATCCGTTCCTGAGTGGCTGAAGTCAGCCGAGTCCACACTATGCAGAAAGCCTGGGCTTGACTCCGCACATTTTCTGAAACCGATGTCAAGGTCTTCTTTCGACGATCGTAGGAGTCGCGAGGCAGATCAGGATCATAGGATGCCGCACAGGAATTCCTCGGTTTGTCTACATGCCAACACAAATGTGATTGCAGCAACAGGTTGTCTACATGCAAACAGGAGTCTTTCCATCAACCAAGGCTCCTGACTGTAGCCAGCTCTGAAAACGAGAAGTCGGTCTTCAAAAAGGCTTAAACCCGTAAGCCCTTAAACCTAACAAGCTAAACCCTAAACCCTAAACCCTTAAGCCCTTAGACCTAAGAAACCCTACATCCAAAACCACAAGAGAGGGTGTGGCTTTGTCAGTGTCAGCAACTGCGGGGATGTCAGGCCTGGCGTTTGATCGATGAGACGAAGCTCCAAGAGAGGTACCAGATGATTAATATAGGGGCCTTAATAAGTAGAATAGGGTTTAGGGGGTATAGCAGGGCTCCCTTAAAGGGGTCTGTAAGGGTTTCTATAAGGGTGTATGGGGCTTTACAAGTAGAATAGGGTTTGGGGTGTATAGAAAACTATACTAATCATGAGGAGCCCCCCCAAAACCCTGTTCTAATTATTAAGGCCCCTACATTAGGCCTAGAAGCAGGGCTTGGGGGTGGAATTAAGGCTTCAGTTTTCGGGTGTCTAGGGCTTAGGGTGTTTAGGGTTTAGGGTTTAGGGTTTAGGGTTTAGGGTTTAGGGCTAGGGCTTTGGGTTTAGGGTTTGGGGTTTAGGGCTAGGGCTTTGGGTTTAGGGTTTAGGGTTTAGGGCGAGGGCTTTGGGTTTAGGGTTTAGGGTTTAGGGTTTAGGGTTTAGGGTTTAGGGTTTAGGGCTGGGGCTTTGGGTTTAGGGTTTAGGGTTTAAGGTCAGGTCCGGCAACCTGAACTCTAAACCCTGCAACGTCCGAAGGGGCAGAGCTCTTCATCTACAGATCCTAAGTTGGTGCCTTATCAGGGGTCTCCGTAACACTACCTAGGACCCTAAACCCTAAACCTTAAACCCTAAACCCTAAATAAGGGCTCCATTATAAGGGGCTTGGGGTTTTGTGAGAGCTTTATGGAGGCTTGAGGGTTTGATAGCTGGCTTTCGGGCTTTACAAGGGCTTGAGGGTCTTGTACAAGCGGTTACCAAAGTCCAGTACACCCGAAAACTTACGGACGTACCGGGCCGGGAGTGAACTTCCGGGCCAAGGTCAGAAAGAACCAATTTCACAAAGTGGTTTTATGCTTATGCGAGCGCGTTGGCTTTAGGTCCAGTTTAGGGTGTGATTTTCGGGGATCACTGGTTCATTCAGCAGTCGCTAGATTGGTTGGCGAACTTGGTGGCTAGATTACCAGTGTTTCGACTACACGTAATACCTGGCATATGTGCTTGCATGAACTTGTCGCTGCACACCTGTGCAGGCATTGGTTCTCGCAGCTCGATTAAGAAAGCTGCACAGACAGACACACATACACACACACACACACACATACATACGTACATGCAGAATTACATAAACGCATACTTCCGCAAATGGGTCAGTCGCTAGAACGGTAGACAGGCAATAAACGATACTTACATAATTACCTACCTACCTACCTACCTACCTACCTACCTACCTACCTACCTACCCACCTACCTACCTACCTATCTACCTACCTACCTACCTACCTACCTACCTACCTACCTACC